CTATATCACTCAGATCCGATGACCACAAGTGCCACCAGCAGGTGCTCGAGTTGCTGACATTCCTGAAAAAGTAGTTGATGCTCGGAATAAACTTCCAGCAGAGGCAGTGAGCCAGTCAGCAGTAAATGTCCTCAAACACGCTTGGGGCAAACATAGATCTATACAAAAAAGAAAACAAAAAAAAACAAAAATAGATATAAACAGAACAAAGCCAAAAGAATGGGCAGACTTGATGGACCATTTGTTTTTTTTCTGCTGTCACTTTCCTATGTTTCCATGAATGAGTAGACTTGTCTGCATCTATGAGGATCTACAGTCCATACACACCCAGCACAAGGCCGGGGTCACACTACCAGACGGTTTTCTATGGAAGACAGGAAGGGATGTCAGGGACAGATAGGAAGTGATGTCAGGGACAGAAAAGAAGTTCCAGGTGAGAGGTGAGTCGGGAGGAAGTAGAGAGGAGACATTGCTGGAAGTGGCAGCAGAGGAGGTAATAAGATCTGATTTTATATTTACACCCAGTAACCCCCCCGTCATGTCCGTCCTCTCCCTCCATCATCGCACCCTGTCCTTTTCCTCCGTCATCACGCCCCTGTCTTCTTCCTCCACCGTCACGTCCGTCCTCTTCCTCCATTGTCACGTCCTGTCTTCTTCCTCCACCATCACGTCTGTCATCTTCCCCCACCATCACATCCATTCTCTTCCTCCGTCGTCACGTCCGTTCTCTTCCTCCGTCGTCACATCCATCCTCTTCCTCTGTCGTCACGTCCATCCTCTTTCTCCACCGTCAAGTCCATCCTCTTCTTCCACCGTCACGTCCGTCCTCTTCTTCCACCGTCACGTCTGTCCTCTTCCTCCACCGTCACGTCCGTCCTCTTCCTCCACCGTCACGTCCGTCCTGAACATTCTCTTCATTCTGCAGATGTGCAGAGGATGGGGATCTTATTTAGACAAAACAGCCTAAGGGTATGAGGCTCCTGGATCCCAAAACCACAGCAAACCCTAAACTGAATGTTCCTCTGTGTGTAATCCCACTGGGGGCCGTTCTTCCATGATAGAGACCCTCGTATTATCCCCCCCATCCTAATATTGTACAACCAGTACAGTCCAGATCATTCTCTGTTATCAATTATTGGTCTACAGGAAACCTGTATAGATCACATGACCAATGAGGATGGAGAAGGACCGGAGTCACATGACTGAGAGGATACTAAACCTCACCCTGGAGATCATCTACCTGCTGACTGGAGAGGTGAGGAGGATTCTGGGAGGTCACATGACATCACTCTGGTCTAGTCTGGCCAATAGACCATGTTCTTGTAGACATGTAGATGATGTCAGATGATTGATATCGGTTTCTCTTTTTCCTGATCTGTAGGATTATGTTGTAGTGAAGAAGTCTAGTGGGGAGCCAATCTCAGGAGGATGGAGCAAGACCCAGAGCCCCACCATGGTGCCCCCCCCCTTGTTCTCCGATACCTGAGAGGAACAAAGAGCAGAAGATCCTGGAACTGACCACCATGATGGTCCATCTGCTGACAGGAGAGGTGAGCGGTGCCGGGAATTCTGGGACATTCTCCAGTAACAGACAAGGGATGTGTCTAGATGGTGACTGTATCATTGTGTGTGTCAGGTTCCTATAAGGTGTCAGGGTGTCACTGTCTATTTCTCCATGGAGGAGTGGGAGTATTTAGAAGGACACAAGGACCTCTACAAGGACCTCATGATGGACAATCAGTCGCCCCTCACATCATTGGGTAAGAGGAGACTTTATTGGAAAGGAGAGAGCAGTACGGAGGCTTCACCTAGATCCCCCATCATCTGATAAACACATAGAAACAATGTATTTAGTCAGTGTGTGTGTTTCCTACAGATGGATCCAGTCATGGGAACCCACCAGAGAGATGTCCCCGTCCTCTGTATTCCTGGGATTCCACACAGGAAGGTCACACCATCCCTCACCATCATCAGGTAGGTGGATCCAGTCATGGGAACCCACCAGAGAGATGTCCTCGTCCTCTGTATTCCCGGGATTCCACACAGGAAGGTCACACCATCCCTCACCATCATCAGGTAGGTGGATCCAGTCATGGAAACCCACCAGAGAGATGTCCCCATCCTTTGTATTCCTGGGATTCCACACAGGAAGGTCACACCATCCCTCACCATCATCAGGTCGGTGGAGTTGAGGGTCGGGAACATAAAGTCATGGAGACGATGTGTGGACTCTACAAGATGAGGTTTTCTATGCGGTCTCCCATCATAAATCCTTCTATGGTTTTCTTTCTTGTCCATTGAGGGACACAAGAATTCAGAAACATTTAGGTAACACTGCCACATCCAGGAGGTTGGGACACTGGGGGGAAATAAATTGTATGCCAGCCCCCTTTAGACCCCTCAGAATGCAACATGCTGTAGTTTTGTGCTAGTATCTTGAGAGGCTGGACACATTTTGAGATCTGCTCTTTTTTATTTTTGGTAGTCCTCTTCATTTTTTTGGGATTTTGAATCCACATTCTTTACTGACATCTCTGCTTTAGTTGGTCTCGGTATAGCAGCCATCCGGATAAATGTTTCCTCAGCCTAGCTTTGAAGGTACTAAAACATACAAGGAGAGAGCGCAGGACCACCCCAGTGTATTTCCTGCGTGTTTCCAGAATGACAACCTTCTCCTGTTTATGGAGCCTTCCTTCCCTGAATCCTGAGGGTTGGGAATGTGAGGCTTGGTCCTTCACATGTAGACCAGCTGGTCTTCTCTTGTGGAGCTGCTGTTGGACAAAGTTTCTTTCTGGGGACCTGTTTACTCGGGGACTTGTGCTGTTTTTTTTTTGACCACGTTATTGGTCTATTATTTCTACATTGGGTAGTTATGTGGTTCCACATTTTTAGGTGGGTTTTTGGGCTGACAGCCTCTTGCTAGTTTAGTGTTCCTTCTGGTGGACTCGTTACCTCTTGGGGGTCACCTCTTCTGTCTTGGTCTGAGCATCACCTTCACCCTCTGGCCTTCCCTTGGTCCTTGGCTGGTTCATGGGGGCGTCTTCTTATCTGGTTCTCAGTCAGGAGTTGTGAGCTGCAGACAGTTCCCAGTCCCTTTCTGGCCTGTCAGTGGCTGTTGCTCTCCCCCTCATTAGGACTGCTTTTTGAATCTCTGGCTAGATCTGAGTTCCTGTGTCCCTCAAAGGATGAAAAAAAAAAAGACCTCCTGTAAAATGTATTCCTTTGAGTACATTGAGGGACACAGGCCCCACCCCTTTGTATTTTGCTCCTACCCTCAGTGCTGCTTATCCCCAGAACTGAGGCATGCTGGGGTAGAGGAGGGGCAGTTACAGTTACAGTTTTTATTGCCCCAACCTCCTGAAGGTGGCGGTATAACCCAACTGTTTCTGTAGTCTTGTGTTCCTCAATGGCCGCCAAGAAATAGAATTTTCGGTAAGTACAAAAGTCTTATTTTTGCTGCCATTCTGTTGGTTTAGGGTGAAGATCTGATTTCCGTGAATGAAGAGGAAGAGATGTATGTGAGGGATGATACGGAGGAGGCTGGAGGGAGGAGGACATTCACAGAGGAGGACACTCCTACAGAGATCAGCACAGGTGACCATAATATATTCTTCTCTTATCTCTGCTTTGTTACATTCCCCCCCCCCAAGTCCCCAGTGGTCCCTGCTCCTCTGACAAGGCTGAGAAACAAAAGCCTAGGCCTATGGTCACTTGTTCTATGATAAAGGGTCTTCAAGTCTGAACTTGGACCCAATTGTCCATCAGAGATCACATGACCCAGTGCCTTGGCTTGTGGTTGTGTAAAAAGAGCATGCCCCCCCCCCAGCCCCCATTGGTCCCTGCTCCTCTGACAAGGCAGTGTAACAAAAGCCTAGGCCTATGGTCACTTTTTCTATGGTAAAGGGTCTACACGTCTGAACTTTGACCATCTTGTCTATCACAGATCTTATGACCCAGTGCCTAGGCTTGTGGATGTGTGAAGAGCATGCCCCCCCCCCCCCCCCCCCGTCCCCATTGGTTCCAGCTGCTCTGACAAGGCGGAGTAAATGTAGAAGTGATCTGGGAGGTGGAGCAAAGGCCCCTTGATTGAAGAGGGGAAGAGTCCCAGCTGGTTGGGACATCCACAGATAGGTTGGGTCCTCTTCTAGCAGAGTTATAGCTAAATGTTATCATAAAACTCTATTAAATGTTTCCTTGAGATAAGGAGTAACCCTAAAACACTCCTTCCAGGAGAACATACTGCTCCAAGCTCCCTCCAGTGCTGTCTATCACCAGAAGCCTAGGCCTATGGTCACTTGTTCTATGGTGAAGGGTCTTCAAGTCTGAACTTTGACCCTCTTGTCTATCAGATCACATGACCCAGTGCCTAGGCTTGTGGTTGTGTGAAGAGCATGCCCCCCCCCCCCCCCCCCCCCCCCCCCCCCCCCCAGCCCCCATTGGTTCCTGCTCCTCTGACAAGGCGGTGTAAATGTAGAAGTGATCTGGGAGGACCAAAGGCCCTTTGACTGAAGAGAGGAGGAGTCCCAGCTGGTTGGGACATCCAAAGAGAACATCTGCTCCCTCCTATCTCCCTGATCCAGATGGAATCTCGATGGATGTGAACTAACCCTCTCCTATCTATTGATGATGTTTTTCTATTTTTCCAGGACCCGCCATGGAGAAACCCTCAAAGGATCGTCTCACTTTATCTCCAGGTTGTAAAAATGGAAGATGAGGACATCCCAGGAGATTGTGCCAGAGAAAAGAGAATGAGCTCCTCCATGGATGGTGGACTTCCCAGTGTGGAGAGACCATGGAATCCCTCTGACCCTGAACACCCTCGTACTGTGGGGGATGTGGCCAAGGCTCCATGTGCCAGAGAAAAGACAATGAGCTCCACTATGGATGGTGGACTTCCCAGTGTGGAGATACCATGGAATCCCTCTGACTCTGAGCAACCTCCTACTGTGGGGGATGGGGCCGGGGTTCCATGTGCTGGAGAAAAGACAATGAGCTCCACTATGGATGGTGGACTTCCCAGTGTGGAGAGACCACGGAATTCCTCGGAATCTGAGAAACCTCATACTGTGAAGGATGGGGCCGGGAATCAGGAGGAGGAGACGTTTCCCTGTCCTGAGTGCGGGAAATGTTTTTCAAACAAGTCCAATCTTTACAGACATCAGAGATCCCACAAAGGGAAGAAGCCGTATTCATGCAGCGAGTGCGGGAAAAGTTTTTTACGGAGGGACATTCTTTTCAGACATCAGAGTTTGCACACAGGCAAGAAGTCGAATCGCTGTCCTGAGTGCGGGAAATATTTTCGAAGGAAGTCGCAGCTTGCTTTACATCAGAGATCTCACACGGGGGAAAAGCCGTACACCTGCCCTGAGTGCGGGAAATGTTTTTCAGACAATCCTGGTCTTTCCAGACACCGAAGATTTCACACGGGGGAGAAGCCGTACATATGCCTAGAGTGCGGAAAAGGTTACACACGAAGTTCAGAACTTCATGTACATCAGAGATCTCACACGGGGGAGAAGCCGTTTTTGTGCCCAGAGTGCGGGAAATGTTTTTCACAGAAGTCCCATCTTTCCAGACATCAGAGAGCTCACACGGGGGAGAAGCCGTATGTCTGCCCAGAGTGCGGAAAGGGTTATTCGCAAAATTCAGAACTTATTATACATCAGAGATCTCACACGGGGGAGAGGCCGTTTTACTGCCTGGAGTGCGGGAAATGTTTTACAGAGAAGTCCCATCTTTCCAGACATCAGGGAGCTCACACAACCAAGAAGCCATATGTCTGCTCAGAGTGTGGAAAAGGTTATACACGAAAAGCGGAGTTTGTTGTTCATCAACGATCTCACACGGGGGAGAAGCCGTTTTCCTGCCCAGAGTGCGGGAAATGTTTTTCAGAGAAGTCCAGTCTTTACAGACATCAGAGATCTCACAAATAGAAAAAGTTATATCCATGATGTGAGTGCGGGAAATGTTCTTCTCAGAGGGATAGTCTAGACTAACATCAGAGATTGCACAAAAAGTTGAATTGCTGCCCCGAGTGCGGGAAATGTTTTCAAGGGGGAACCAGAACTTGTTATACATCAGAGATCTCACACAGGAGAACAGCCGTATTCCTGCCCTGAATGCGGGAAATGTTTCTCACAGAAGTCCAGTCTACACACATCAGAGATCTCACACGGAGAAGACGTATGCCTGTTCTGAGTGCGGGAAATGTTTCTCACAGATGTCCAATCCTCCTGAACATCAGAAAAACCACGCAAACAGGAAAAGCTGTTTTCCAGCCCTGAGTGCGGGAAGTGACCACAGAAATCATAACTTTTCATACGTCTCACACAGGAGTTGCCGTATTCTTGCCTTAAGTGTGGGAAATGTTTTTCCAGAGACATCTAGTCTTCCCATACAACAGAAAGCTCATAAAAGGGGAGAAGCTGATCCCAGAGTGCGGAAAATGTTCCTTACGGAGTCTTGTTATTTATCCAAGTTGTATTCATTTTCTGAGTGCGGGAAATGTTTTTTTATTTTACTAAACATTGGAGATCCAACCCCCCTAGGCGTATTAGTGTCCTGAGTGCGGGAAATGTGTTACAGACAAGTCCCAAATTTTCAGACATCAAAGATCTCACACGGGCGAGATGCCGAATTTCTGCACAGAGTGTGGGAAATGTTACTCACAGAAGCTTAGTTTTACCAAACACCAGAGAACCCACAAAACCCTTGAGGTGTATTAGTGCCCTGAGGGCAGGAAATGTTTTACATGGATGTCTCGTCTTACCAGACACCAGAGAACCCACATCACCTGTAGCAGAAGTTTCCATGGAGGACATCATGGTGAGAGAGAAGGAGGGGGGGAGTCCCTGCTGGTTGGGTCCCTCTAGCCGTGTAGTCTGATCTCCCCTGACCTTCAGCAGCAGCTTCCATGGAGGACATCATGGTGAGAGAGAAGGAGGGGGTCACTGCTGGTTGGGTCCCTCTAGTAGTGTAGTCTGATCTCCCCTGACCTTCAGCAGAAGCTTCCATGGAGGACATCATGGTGGGAGAGAAGGAAGGGGGGATCACTGCTGGTTGGGTCCCTCTAGCAGTGTAGTCTGATCTCCCCTGAACTTCAGCTGAACTTCCATGGAGGACATCATGGTGAGAGAGAAAGGGGGGCGGGGGGGGGTTCACTGCTGGTTGGGTCCCTCTAGCCCTGTAGTCTGATCTCCCCTGACCTTCAGCAGAAGCTTTCATAGAGGACATCATGGTGAGAGGAGGGGGGGGGTCACTGCTGGTTGGGTCCCTCTAGCAGTGTAGTCTGATCTCTCCTGACCTTCAGCAGAAGCTTCCATGGACATCATGGTGAGAGAGAAGGAGGGGGGGGTCACTGCTGGTTGGGTCACTCTAGCCGTGTAGTCTGATCTCCCCTGAACTTCAGCTGAAGCTTCCATGGAGGACATCATGGTGAGAGAGAAGGAGGGGGTTGGAGTCACTGCTGGTTGGGCCCCTCTAGCAGTGTAGTCTAATCTCTCCTGACCTTCAGCAGAAGCTTCCATGGAGGACATTATGATGAGTTAGAAGGAGGGGGGTCACTGCTGGTTGGGTCCCTCTAGCCGTGTAGTCTGATCTCCCCTGAACTTCAGCTGGAGCTTCCATGGAGGACATCATGGTGAGAGAGAAGGAGGGAGGGGGGGTCACTGCTGGTTGGGTCCCTCTAGCAGTGTAGTCTGATCTCCCCTGACCTTCAGGAGAAGCTTCCATGGAAGACATCATGGTGAGAGAGACGGAGGGGGGGGAGTTACTGCTGGTTGGGTCCCTCTAGCCATGTAGTCTAATCTCCCCTGAACTTCAGCTGAAGCTTCCATGGAGGACATCATGGTGAGAGAGAAGGGGGGGGGGGGGGCTACTGCTGGTTGGGTCCCTCTACCAGTATAGTCTCAACTTCAGCTGAAGCTTCCATGGAGGACATCATGATGAGAGAGAAGGAGGGGGGGGGGGTCGCTTCTGGTTGGGTCCCTCTACCAGTGTAGTCTGATCTCCCCTGACCTTCAGCAGAAGCTTCCATGGAGGACATCATGGTGAGGGAGGGGGGGAGTTACTGCTGGTTGGGTCCCTCTATCCGTGTAGTCTGATCTCCCCTGAACTTCAGCTGAAGCTTCCATGGAGGACATCATGGTGAGAGAGAAGGAGGAGGGGTCACTACTGGTTGGGTCCCTTTTAGCAGTGTAGTCTGATCTCCCCTGACCTTCAGGAGAAGCTTCCATGGAGGACATAATGATGAGAGAGAAGGAGGGGGGTCACTGCTGGTTGGGTTCCTCTAGCCATGTAGTCTGATCTCCCCTGAACTTCAGCTGAAGCTTCCATGGAGGACATCATGGTGAGAGAGAAGGGGGGGGGGGGTTACTGCTGGTTGGGTCCCTCTACCAGTATAGTCTGATCTCCCCTGAACTTCAGCTGAAGCTTCCATGGAGGACATCATGGTGAGTGAGGAGCGGGGGGGAGTCACTGCTGGTTGGGTCCCTCTAGCCGTGTAGTCTGATCTCCCCTGACCTTCAGCAGAAGCTTCCATGGAGGACATCATGGTGGGAGAGAAGGAGAGGGGAGGGTCACTGCTGGTTGGGTCCCTCTAGCAGTGTAGTCTGATCTCCCCTGACCTTCAGCAGAAGCTTCCATGGAGGACATCATGGTGAGAGAGAAGGAGAGGGGAGGGTCACTGCTGGTTGGGTCCCTCTAGCCGTGTACTATTCTTTCAGTAAGCAGATTGGTAGATCTGCCTTTAGATTTCCGCCATTAAATGTTTTTTTCTTGTGTTCTCCAAGTCTTAGTTTTATTTTATTTAGAGACGTTTTTAGTGTTTTTCTGGGGGTTTTTTTGTGCACTTTTTTAGAACCCCTTTATAGGGCTGAAAACGACATAAACCCCCCCAAACCCGATCTATGTTCTGAAAGCCCCGCCCCGGAGGAGGAGACATTGGCAGTTCCAATGTTTTTATGTCACTAGATGTTACCGCAAAATGTCGGTAAAAAATACGCTAACGCCCGGTCACCTCGGGTGTGATTCGCCATGTCATGTGACTTGCGTATGCCAAGCAGTACCCTATTGTCCCCTATAACAGCGGTCATCTCGGCGCGGTTCCGACTCGGTCAGATGTACTACTTTTGGTGCGATTTGTGTGTCGGATGTGTTGCCGATAGCATCTGAAATCGGCGTCTCACCCAGCTTTGAAATCGTGCGACTTCACTGAAAATCGGATTGGATGTGACCACCGGGGGGGAGGGGCTTAAGGTGATTTTAGGGGGAACACAAATGCAACCGCTGATGTAATTTTTTGCTGAAATATGAGGGGCGCGGTCACACCGAGTACATAGACACCCAACATGGCAAGTCTTAGGGCCCCATGTACACTGCAGCCGATAAACGGACGTTCAGGAGCGGTTGTGCGTTTGTCTCTGCTTCTGCTCTCCCCGTTTCTGCTGTCTCTTCTTCTGCTGTCTCTTCTTCTGCTGTCTCTGCTTCTGCTCTCTCTGCTTCTGCTGTCTCTGCTTCTGCTGTCTCTGCTTCTGCTGTCTCTGCTTCTGCTCTCCCCGCTTCTGCTGTCTCTGCTTCTGCTGTCCCCGCTTCTGCTCTCCCCCGCTTCTGCTCTCTCGGCTTCTGCTCTCTCTCGGCTTCTGCTCTCTCGGCTTCTGCTCTCTCTGGCTTCTGCTCTCTTGGCTTCTGCTCTCTTGGCTTCTGCTCTCTCTGCTTCTGCTCTCCCCGCTTCTGCTCTCTCTGCATCTGCTCTCTCTGCTTCTGCTCTCTCTCTGCTTCTGCTCTCTCTGCTTCTGCTCTCCTCTCTGCTTCTGCTCTCCCTGCTTCTGCTCTCTTTGCTTCTCTCTCTCTGCTTCTTGCTCTCTCTCTGCTTCTGCTCTCCCTTCCTGCTCTCTTTGCTCTTCTCTCTCTGCTTCTTCTCTCTCTCTGCTTCTGCTCTCCCCGCTTCTTCTCTGTCTCTGCTTCTGCTCTCTCTGCTTCTGCTCTCCCCGCTTCTGTTCTCTGTCCTGCTTCTGCTGTCTCTGCTTCTGCTCTCCCCTGCTTCTGCTCTCTCTCTGCTTCTGCTCTCCCTGCTTCTGCTCTCTCTGCTTCCCCTCTCCCTGCTTCTGCTCTCTCCGCTTCCCCTCTCCCTGCTTCTGCTCTCCCTGCTCCTGCTCTCTCCGCTTCTGCTCTATCTGCTTTTGCTCTCCTTGCTCCTGCTTTCTCTGCTTCTGCTCTCCCCGTTTCTGCTTACCCCGCTTCTGCTCTCCCCGCTTCTGCTCTCTCTGCTTCTGCTCTCGCACTTTGAATGACAATTGCGCGGTCATGCAACACTGTACCCAAATTAATTTTTTTTTCTCCATACAAATAGAACTTTCTTTTGGTGGTATTTACTCCCCGCTGGGTGTTTTATTTTTTGCACTATAAACAAAAGAAGAGCAAAAAAAACATTTGGGAAAAAAAAAGTTTTTATTATTACATTTTGCAAACAGGTAATTGTTCTCCTTCACTGATGTGCGTTGATGATGCTGCACTGATAGGCAGCATTGATGGGCACTGATAGGTGGCACTAATAGGCAGAACTGATGGGCACTAATAGGCAGGACTGATGGGCACTGGTAGGCAGCACTGATGGGCACTGACAGGCAGCACTGATGAGGTGGCACGTATAGGCAGCACTGATGGGAACTTCTCTGACAATTGCCTGTTCTCGGCAGTACTTTCCTCACACTGTGACAGTGTGAGGAAAGTGCAGCCTTTAACCCGCAACTGTATTTACCCGGTGATCTCCTCTGTTATTGGACATGGCTGATCACGAGGTAAAAGGCCGCTGTGACTG